TATATATATATATATATAAAACCACTTTCCCCTTGCTCCAATAAATAATTTTCATTGTAAATATTCAAGTTGCAGTTGATTTTCATGTTGAAATGATATCTATCTTATGATATTCTAGATACTTTAAGATTGGTATTTGAAAAAAATGCATCCTAATTTCGTTTCTAAAAATCACTTATTGAAGCTATGAGGTAGCAAAATGCTTTTTGCATCAGAAACCTTAATTTAGATGTTTACAAAATGGATGCTAGCAAATACGTGTTTGTTAATAGAAATTTAATGTTGTAATATATATTTTCTTTGTAGAATAATAATCAACTTGCATTAAGTGTGACTATGCATTTTTACATAATGCAGATAACTTCAACAGCTTAATGCCTTTGTAGTGAAAATTTTTTAAAAATTATCAGCAGTTGATTGTTTGCTTGTTTATTTAAAATATGAATGAATTGTTAAATATATGCACTTATACAAGCAATCAAACAATTAGTAATTGTTTGAGACACTTATGCAGCTAACATTTTAAAAGATAAATCTGGTAAAAGTAGATTTCAAAATGAAATATTAGATTTAGAATAATTTTCCTTTCTTATCAGAAAAAAAAAATCATTATTGCATTTATACAATATATACAGAGACATGCTAACAGTGTACAATACTCTATTTTGATGCTTAAAAATAATTGTCAAAACAAACATGGTATATAAAAACTGAAGAAAAATGCTATTAATATTAGCAAGAACAACAGAAAAGACACCTGGCTAACATAGCTTTAATTCAGGCTTCTATTGTTATAAAGGGGGGAAAAATATGAAATTGCACCAAAAATACCTGAAAATTTTATCGAATTTTAATTTTTCTTTTTTCATTTTCAGTTACTCATCTTGTGAAGCTCTTATTTTATTATAATTTTTTTTAAAAATTAACAGCCTCAAAATTTTTTAAGGTTTAATTTAATATTAAGTTGGTGAATTTTATAAAATATAAAATTTATAAACTCATTGCAAGATAGCTTTATCACATTAAGAATATATTTATCTAAAACTTATATTAAAAAAGTAATATTAATTTTATTAAATAGTCAGTATTAGCAGCATATAACAAAATTATGGATATGTGTTCCCTTAAGTTATTTTAAATATGCAATATTTAATAACTGTTGAAGAAGAGACGAAAACTTTTCGGAACTAGTAAACATTGTCAATTTTATAGTTTTTAATTTATGTGCAAGGTGTGGCTTTGTAAAAAAATGTACTTTTTCCCTTTTTATCTAAATTATGAGCAAATGACTCTAGAAAAAAGAATTTATTTTTATTGTATCTGCAACTTTTAAATGACAGAAAATTGTGAGGGTTGAAAAAAAAAAAGCTTTTGAAAAAGATTTTTTCTTCAAAGTTTGAAAAATATTTGCTTTACAGCTTTTTCCCTTTTATGCCCCCGTATATACAATATATATATGCATTTAAAGTGCATTTTAGAAAAAAATGTCTGTTTACTGGCTGAATAAGCTACAACAATGCTAATTTTGTTTACTTTATATTTATGTGGTCAATACCAAATACTGTGCTCATTTTTATAATTTTGAGAAGTACAATTATAGGTATTAATTTTTATTGTAAACTACTTTTCATTTCTCAATGGTAATATTCTATTGTAAAATGGGTCAGGTACTAATTATACTCATTTTTATAATTCTATTGTGAGATTCTATTCTCTTGTTTACAAGATACTTGTTTCCTGATAAACTGAATTTCAAACCTTGAAGTAATTAGTTTAGTATACATATTTCATTTGCTTTTACCATAAGCATTAAAATACTCTTTATGATACTTATTCATTATATTTATATTCTTTTACTTTGTATAGCTATATCTGCTTACATTATTAAAGATAAAATATAGTTTTTCAGAAATGATTATGTGATTACTTTCTAGTTGAATATTGACTACTATACTCACGTAACTTAAATAGAGTTATGGACAGTTCTGTGATAGTTTTTTTTTTTTTTATAAGTTTGAAAATTATGTCTCTTTTTGTAAATTTATTTCATATTTATCAAAAAGATTGTAGATTTATTGTTCATAAAATACATTCATTTCTTTTCATATGCATAAGCAAAAATGTGCTTTTTATTATTGTGGGAAATGTGATTTTAGGTGCTAATGACCTGTCCTGTATTTATATATAATGATTAAATTCAATTGAATTACCTAAAATATTTATGAGTAAAAAGATTTCTCACTGTAAAAATTGTATGATTTTGCTGCAATAAAACTTATTGTTGGTCCTTGTTAACATATATGTATTGCATTGGCAGTAAAATAAAATGTATTTCTGGCGATTTTCATTCTTTTTTGATGTTCTTTAACAAAATATTTTTTAAATATACTTGGCACTTCAAATGTATGTTCAAATAAATGTCACTAACCTTGCAATCTTTGTTGATGAGAATATACAATGTAAAAAGTCCCTTAACTCAGTACTTCAATATGTTGTTTGGTTGAATAACACAGAGGCTAATGCCGGCAAATAAAGTATTTATTAAAACATAGTATGAGGAAACAATAGTTCGCACACACAGTGCTACACATCTGAATCAACCAACAACCAGTCAGCTTCTTCAACAAATATATATCGATACCCCCTATCGGGAAGTCGTTGTATTACATTACGCAACTCCAACTTAACTGAGAAGGAGAGGAAAAATGAGATTTTATTTGCATATTAACAACACTCCCCCTGCGAATAAATACACATTTTTCCACAAAATATAAAACATAAATAAACTAAATTTCTCATACAACTTAAACTTATTAACAATTAATCAATTAAATTTATTTGTGACACAGTCCAAGTGAGCTTGTCAAAAGTTACAGCTTTAGTTAGGAAATCTGCGATCATTTCGTCCGTTTGCACATACTCTACTTTAATAATTTTGCCAATTATATCCTTTACGTAATGAAGTTTCAAATTTATATGTCTCGTTCTAGAAGATGATTTTGCACTATTCAACCAATCAATTGCAGATTGATTGTCAGACGAAATGGTCACAGGTTTCTTTACAAATATAGAACAATGCAATTCTTCCAATAAATTTAATATCCACATTAGTTCTCTACAGACACCACCTAAAGAAACAAGTTCCGTTTCACAAGTAGATAGAGCAACTGTTTTTTGTTTATTGCTCTTCCATAAAATTAAAGAATCACCTAACATTACAATTTCTCCTGAAAATGATTTCCCATTTTCAGCATTTCCCCAGCTTGCATCGGCATGAGCATTCAAAAGTCCTGATTTGTTACTAAAAAATAATTTTTTATCCTTTGTACCATTGAGATATTTTAACACTCTTTTAGCTAAATTAAAATGTCGTTTCTCAGGTTTATGATTAAATTGAGATAAGTAGCTCATGACAAATGCTAAGTCTGGTCGTGTTCTGTTCGAGAGATATAAAAGTTCCCCTATTAATTCTTGATATTGTGTTTGGTTAACCATTTCGTTTGAACAATTAAAACTCCTATCCTCACCTCTTACGATTGGTGTTTTTACACATTTAGAATCAAACATACCATGTTTCTGCAGTAAATAGTTTATATATTCAGTTTGAGACAAAGTTACGCCCTTCTCACTTTTATTTATTTCTATACCTAGAAATTTATTCTCTTTACTTTCTTTCACTTCAAATATCCGAGATAATTTTCCCACTATATCATTATACATTTGCAAATCTGAATAAATAACTATTAAGTCGTCTACGTATATTCCAATATAAAAATACTTAGAATTCTCTATTCTAGTGAAAATACAATTATCCGAAGCTAGCTGTTTTAAACCAAGCTTTTCTAATTCCCGTTTAAGATGTAAATGCCAATTTCGACCTGATTGTGGTAATCCGTAAAGACTACGTTTTAACTTGCATACTTTATTTTCACCATACAAATGTTTAAAACCTGGGGGAATAGTCATATATACAGTTTCTTCCAAATTACTATAAAGATATGCAGTTTTAATATCTAAAAATTTTACTTCTAAATTTAATTTGGCAGATAATGCTAACAACAAACGCAAAGATTCGGTACTTAACACGGGTGAATAAGACTCTAAATAATCACGATTTTTTACTTGATTAAAACCTGCTGCTACTAACCTAGCTTTGTATTTATTTTCTTTCATAGTAAAAACCCATTTACTCTTGACAATTTTTACATTTTCAGGCTTATCTACTAGATCCCAAACATCGTGTTCGTGAATAGAATTTAATTCTTCATTCATTGCTTTTTCCCATTTTAACCAATTTTTATCACGTTTAGCTTCATCAAAATTACCCGGAATATTAGTTACTAAGTTTGAACTTGCTTTTTCCTTTATTCTATCTGATCGACGTACACCTAGCTCTAGTAACCTGTTTTCGTCTTCAATTATTCGTTGTTCATTTAATTCCCTAATTTTTTCTTTAGTTGAACCTACTGGACGACCGCGAGTTTTAGTTTCACTTAGATCTCGGGTATCTTTCAAATCCAGTGGAAATTCAAAACCTGTATTTTGGTCTTCTACATTAGTTTGAATATTAAAAAATTCATCGATGTCATTAGATTTATCCTCACTAAACAAATTACTACTACCTAATAATTTCTCATTAAATTTTACTGAACGCTCTTCGATTACTTTATTTCTTTCAGGGTCGTAAATACGATAAGCTCGTCTTTCATTCGAATATCCCAACATAATACCCTTTTTACCTGGAATAGAAAGTTTGTGTCTTAAAGCTTTAGGAACGTGATAGTATACTGTAGATCCAAAAACACGTAGATATTTATAGTTCTGCTTTTTATTAAAGAATAATTCTTTTGGAACTTCAGTTTTACCTTTTCGAGGAGTTAGGTTAGTAACATGCGTTGCATAGGCTATTGCTTCAGCCCAAAAATTTAAAGGAAGTTTACTATCATAGATTAATGTTCTAGCTCTATCTAACAAAACTCTATTAGCTCGTTCAGCTTTACCCAAACTTTCTGGGTTGTACGGCACAGATTTTTCATGTGTAATTCCGCATTCAGTGAAATAAAACTCAAGATCTTTGTTTACAAACTCAAGACCATTATCACTACGGAATTTCTTAATTTTCTTATTTATTAAGTTTTCAAATTTCAACTTAAAACTTACAATTTTATCAAATACTTCGGTTTTGTTCTTAAGAAAATAAGTAAAATACATGCCAGAAAAATCATCTACTAATATTAAAAAATATCTTGAATTACCTAAGGACTTAACTGGGAATGGTCCACACAAATCACCATGTATTAATTCTAAAGTTGTTGAACTTTGAGGAGTTAAAATACTAAAATGAGGTTTTCTGGTAATCTTAGAAATATCACATGATTCACAAGACAATTCATTATCAATTTTTAAATTTAACACTTTACACATTTTACGCATATAATCAGCATTTAAATGACACAATCTTTTATGCCAAATTACATTCATTTCAGCGTTATTTTTAACTTTGTTACACTCAGAAAGACATACCTCGTTATTAACATTAGGTTTTAGCTTAACTTCTAATTTTTTATTCACATTTAAAGCTTTCAAAACTACGCGTCCATTAGGAGCAATAATTAATACTGAGTTTGAATGTGATTTTACATTAAACCCCAAATCCATTAAACATGTAACTGACAGTAAATTATGACGTAATTCTGGTACATACAATACATTACTAATTATAATTCTTGCATTATTACTTAGTGAAATAGCTTTAACAGTTCCGGTTCCTTTAGTATCTAATGTAAAAGTCTTACCTGCCTGGTATATTTTACTGTCGCAAGCATCTATAGATTCGAACCAGCGTTCATCCTTGCACATATGAGACGTGGCTCCGCTATCCAGGATCCAACATTCGTCCACTTGTCCTTTCTGTTCAGCTGAAACTAAGGCGTAATCATCTGGAGTAGCACTTTCGGATACCAATGTCTCTTGAAAATTTGGTTTTCGGCGACCTTTTGCTCTGCTGGTCGATGTTTTGTAGTCTCTATCTGTTCCCACTTCTTGATGTTTCGAATAACAATCCCTTGCTATATGTCCCGGTCGTCTACAGGAGTAGCAAATTTTTCTAGGTAAACTCTTCTTCTGAGTAGCATATGCGGATTCCAAATTTCTATGTCCACGGGATTTCTGTAGTAAATCTTTTTCTTCTTCCCTTAAGACTTCAAGTATTTCTTCTATCGACTTTTCTCGTTGCGTTTTTAAAACTTGTTTTATGCGCTCATATTTTCCAGCTAGACCTCTGACCGTGTAGAACACTAATTCTCTGTCAGATATTTTCAGTCCCAAGGAAGCACACTTAGTCGATAATCCTTTAGCTCGAGCTATATAATCGTTTACGGCTTCTGAATCCAGCATTTCTAAGCTCTTAAGTTCGGCACCCGCATCAATCTTTCTATCTTCCTCAAGCCCAGTGTAGGTAGTTTTAATTCTTGTCCACAAAGCTTTTGCATTCTTTTCTTCTGCATATTGCAAAGCCTGTTCGTCTGATAGAGACAATTTCAAGTATGATACGGCATCTTGGTTTGTAGTTTCCCAAACTTGCAATTTACCAGGGTCAGTTGGAGCTTCCTCTGTCACTGCCGACATTAGTTTCTTGAGGTTCAAAACTGCTTCCATTTTCATGGCCCAAAGATGATAATTAGTTCCAGTCAACTTCGGAATTCCAAAAGCTAAGTCTTTCTCCATGATGATCGTAAACCACGCTCTGCTACCACTGTTGTTTGGTTGAATAACACAGAGGCTAATGCCGGCAAATAAAGTATTTATTAAAACATAATATGAGGAAACAATAGTTCGCACACACAGTGCTACACATCTGAATCAACCAACAATCAGTCAGCTTCTTCAACAAATATATATCGATACCCCCTATCGGGAAGTCGTTGTATTACATTACGCAACTCGAGCAACTTAACTGAGAAGGAGAGGAAAAATGAAATTTTATTTGCATATTAACAACACAATACTATTTTTAATAAATTTAATAATTACCTTACAATTTTTCTAAATTCTAGTTTTAGGCTTAAGGACTATTGATAGAATGTTGCTGATACCCTAGAATTTTATAACATGAATTATTTTACACTATTTCTTCCCTTTGGCTGATTACAATTGTCTCTCTCTTTCTCAGAAACGAGGAGGAAATGTTAAATATTCCTTTAATCATCTTTACTTAATTTTTCTAACTATACTTAACTTGTTACTTTTAAACTTGTAAAATACATGGTCAAACATAATTGGCGACATATAGTAAACAAAATTTTAGAATGACTTTTTTTATTTTATAGAACCGTAATAATAGGGTTTTGTAATCAACATTTTCAAAACAAAAATTTTACATGCAAGGTTTGCCAATAATGGATTTTTTAAAAATATTTTTTTAAATACTTTTTAAGATTAATCATGCTACGTTTATTTAAGTAGAAGTTTTATTCACTGAATAATATAAATGCTTCTGAGACAGTGTTCAGTACAACTTGATGTTAATATTTTATGATAATTCAAGATAAAGGAGCATAGACTCCTTAAACAGGAGTATTGAAAAATATTTAAATATTCTTGTTATTGTATTGTAAAGTGTTGGTATGTTCAGTGTTAATCTAAATATTTTTCTAATAGAAATTCTTAACACACTTTACAGAACTATTTGTTGTTAGATTACCCACCACTTTCTACTTTTCATCGAAATAGTCAGCAGGTTATACGGACAACTAGATAATACAATTGACATTGAAAATTAAATGAATTTTATTTTGACATAAATGATCATAAGTATCCCACAAAAGTATCTTTTTTTTATTAAATATGCCGGTAGCACAAAATAAATGCAATACAAGTATAACCTACATTATAGATATATTTTTAACTAAAAATGTTTTAAAAAGCCCAATCTAAATATACTAATCATCTTCTTTATAACGAAATTAATATTACTTGATGTCATCACCATAGAATTCGACAACCGATAACCACATGAACATCTCAACTTCTATTTCATATACTATTGGAACTTTTTGGTATCAAATAAATGCTTATAAATAAAACAAAAATATTTAGATTTTAATTGATTTTTTATGAGTTAGTAGTATCTTCTTTCATATTTCTCAAATCATAATTATCAGACGTTGTTGCACTTTTTTTTTTCCTTGGAAAAAAAATTACTAATACAGTGTCAGGCTAGAAAGTATTTTTTTTAAAATTATAATTTTAAAACTAAGATAATTTAGTGAGTCCCCTTTTTTAAAAGGGATTGTTTGAGCTGAAATAATATGCTTAATTTCCGGAAAGAGGGCAGACACTAAGGGTTATCAAATCAGTGCTGATTATAATGCTCTCAATTTTGAACCAACTCAGAAAAATATTTTCAAAAATTGCTGAAATTTTAAAGTAATTTTATGAATGTAAAAAAAATTAGGTAACCTGAATCCTTTTCTACTGATTGGATTTTCAAAAATTAACTGCCAATCTTAAAGGCTCAAAGGGTTTATCTCAAATGCTAATTAATTAGTTATAGCTGTTACAGACAGAAAACTTAATTTCTTTGAATAAACATATATATACAGGTATAGGACAAAATAATAGGAACACCTGTGAAAGAATGGAGTCATTCTCGACCGTCCAATAAGCGGCGGGCATGTGTCGCAAGAATGTGCCACCTAGTGGTGATGAAAGGCACGGTATCTGTCTAGCATTTGGCAGTGTAAGATTTGCATGAGAAAAAACTTTCTAGCAAAACGAGATTATGTCCGACCTTAAAAGAGGCATGATAATCGGAGCTCGTCTGACTGGAGCGTCCGTGTCCAGAACAGCGAACCCTGTAGGTGTTTCAAGGACCACTGTATCAAGGACTGTCGGCATACACAAAGTTGGGTAAGGTGTCTTTGGCGAGACACAACAGCGGCAGGAAGTCGAAGTTGTCGGACCGTGATAGACGGGTGTTGAAGAGGATAGTTGCTCGAAAATGCAAGACTGCACTGCCGGTGATAACATCCGAGATGAATACCCACATTCAGAACCCCGTATCCATGAAAACTATTCAACGGGAGTTGCATGCTGCTAACATTCATGGCAGAGTAGCTATTCCAAAACCGTTAGTTTCAGCGTGGAATGCTTTGAAGAGACTACAGTGGTGCCAAGACCACCTAAAATGGACACAACTGCAATGGGAACAAATCATCTGGTCTGATGAATCCTCTTTTACACTATTCCAGACCACCGGACATGTGGCGAACGCCGGCAGAAGCATTTCATGTTGACTGCCTTGTTCCAACTGTGAAACATGGAGGTGGTTCTGTGATGGTGTGGGGGTGCTATATCTGCCCGTGGATTGGGACCTCTCGTTGTCTTGAGGGGGTGGTCAAAGGGGACCATTACCGAAGCATTCTTGCAGATCATCTTCACCCTATGCTTCATACTATCTTTCTGGGAGAATGTCCTGTGTTCCAAGATGACAACACCCCTGTTCACACCTCTCACTGTGTTCAAACATGGTTAAATGAGCATAATGATGAGATGGACCATCTAACGTGGTGTCCTCAGTCCCCTGATCTCAATATCATTGAGCCTTTGTGGGGGTTTTTTGGAGAAAAAATTCCGTGCTCGGTTTCCTCCTCCACGCACACTCTCAGAACTCGAGATAGCCCTGCAAGAGGAATGACTGCAAATTCCAATGAACTTTGTTCAAGACCTTTATTTGTCAATCCAACGTCGAATGCAAGCTGTCATTCAGGCCAAAGGTGGCCCCAACTCCTTATTAATAAAATATTTTCATTTTTTCACAGGTGTTCCTATTATTTTGTCCCATAACCTGTATATTATTTTTTGCTTATAGATTTCGAATTTTTGACAATAAAAATATTTGCAATTTCGAAAATGTCTGCAATCTGAATTAATACTTATTTTACTCTTTGCATATTAAGCCACATCTCTGGAAGTTTTTAAGCAAATCCAAAAATGTTTTCACACAATTATAAAATTTTATAACCTATTTGAATTTTGTCATTTAAAACCATTTAGCTTAAATTCATTCATCAAATATTTGTAAATTTTCTGATCATTGTTAAATAAAATAATTATATATTGTTTTTGCAAGGAATCTTCTATGTACAAATATATTAAAAAAAACATTAAAGTGCCAACCACTCTCCTCAATAAACTATTGGGATCATATTTTCCAAATCGTGACTACCTCTGCATTTTGATGGTCAAAATTCTATATCTATTACAACTTATTAATTAGCATGTCAGAGGCCAACAATTTAAAGGAATAAAATTGGCATTTTGTTTGAAAAAACCAACCATAAGAACAAAAGATATTTAGGGTGGTGTCTTTTTTTTGCTAACTATACAGTGCGCTAAAAAAAACAACAACCACATAAATTTTGATCTCATATTCAATCTTTTATCATATATTTGATTTCTTAGGAACTATTCACCTGATTAACATGTTGAATGCCATGGGGTCACCGGTGACCGGCACCGAGTTTGTTCGTAGCGCCACGGGGATCACCAGTGACTGGAGAAGCCAAAATTATTAGAAACACATAATTCGAGTAAATTTTTAATGCTTTTAATTTTTTTATATTATCGTTACTAAAATGGTTTGAAGAAATGAATGCAATACAAACTGAGTAAATCATTTTGGACAGACTGGCAAGTCATGAAAATAAGCGTGGCATTCAACGTGTTAAATTTTATAATCTGATATATAAAATTACAATATTTAAAATGATGTAAAAAATGGATAGTTCACAATTCAATTTTTCTTTTACTATTATTAAATGAAATAAAATAATTTTTAAATGAATTTTATAATTGTGTGCAAAATGTTTTCTAACTGCTTAAAAATTTTGTGAGATACGGCCAAATATGCAAAAAGTAAAATGGACATTAAGGAGTTCAAACTTTGAACTGCTTTCTTAACACAACTATTGGGACCACTACATCCTATATTTTGAGGGTCAGAAATCCAAACTGTCAAAAAAAAAAAAAAAAAAGACTTTATTCAGAATAAGAGCACTTCTGTATCTGATTTCGTAACTTAAAAAATAGTCTTCATTAATTAATCGACATAGTTGAGGTCACCCCCTCAAACCATTAGGATTGTGTCCTAGTGTGTGAAGATCTAATAATTAGATCAAAGGTTATACACGGAGATTTTTTTTTGTGCGCACTGTATATCATGTGCAAGTTACCATAAAATAAAATTACACCAAATTTGAATAAAAACACTTTATTGAAAAATAGCTGTATGTATTAGTATTAATTATAAAAAGTTGAGCAATTTTATATGTTGATAATTCTTTTAATATGGAAAATATATTACTCCTGGTCAATCTGCCCTTGATTGACATCATTGAGGTGAACCCAACGTTGGCCATTTATTACTTTCCAAAGACTAACCTAGAAACAAAAGTATGAACAGATTAAATTTTATGAATGAAAATTATAATAATATAAAGGACACTTGTACAGTGGGAAAAAAAACGGACCGCCCAGAAATACTTTTGATCGGATCTTCAGGATCTAGGACTCAAACGTTTGAGATGGTGATATCAAATATGCTAATTAATTAGTGCAGACGATATTTGAAGTTGCAGAATCAGACACGAAAACAAACTTTCTCTGAACAAACATACCTTTTTTGACGAATTCGGATTTCTGACCCTCAAAATTTAGGGGAAAGCCGAAATCTGGGAAATATGGTTCCCATAATTTGGTCTGGAGAGTGGTCTAAAGTTTGGACCCCTTAATATTAATAAATACTTATTGAAATTTATTTTTTGCCTGGAATTATCCTTGGGTAAACGAATTTTACAATTGTGTGCAAAATTTTTTCAACATTCAAATTTTTATTTGCTTAAAGAGTTAGAGATATGGCGAAATATGCAAAAAGTAAAATTAACATTAAAATTAATCTTTTGTGTTCTATGTCCTTTCTCCTTTGTGTGAATGTGACCCGCCCTATAAACGGGTTTGTGGTTGTATGACGTGGGCGACGCTGCTCCACCGCCGTGGCTTTGTCACAGGTGCCCACTGGGTAATGAGAAGAGAATAGCAGTTTTGGCATAATGAGGCCAATGGGACAATACATCCCAAGTGCCCACCATTAAAAAAAATTAACATTAAGGGGTTCAAAATATGGGGACCATATTTCCCAGATTGCGGCTTCCTCTATATTTTGGGGGTTAGAAATCCGAATCTGTCAGTCCTCAAAAATTAGTTTTGAGAATGCTCGAAACTAATCAACCCAATTAAAATATGTACAATGAAAACTATATTTATTACTAACATTGTGTCAAAATTTGAAGTAAATCGGTTAAAAATCGCACTAATTAGAATAACAGCAAGTAAGTAAAACATTATTTTGATTAAATAGCGTTAATTTTTTTGTGATCAATAACACTGGGGAACAAATTTTTTGTTGCATTTACACAAATACTTGATCTTGCCTAATTTGGAAGTGGGAATTTTAAATCTGCAATTAGTTTTGCTCCTACAGCTACAGACTTTTTTTTAAAAAATGGCATTCTTAGTCTATTATTTGCCAAAATGTGCCCCAGCAACAAAATAACTTGGACCAACATTCACGAAGATTGGCTCAATAAGGGCTTAAAGGGCCGTTATTTTTAAATATTGGCCCAATATAGAATTGTCAGATTCACCAAATATTTTATATACATTATTCAGCCAATATAGGCCTATATAGGACCAATATTAAAAAATCCAAATTGTTATCCCAATTTTGGTTCCACGGTGCATGCTCATATAGGACCCATATTGAGCCAATTTTAAACCCATCTTGGGGTCCAGGTAAAGTTGTTGCTAGAGTACAGTGAGCAAAAAAAGAACCACCCTGAATAATTTTTGATTTAATGATCGGATCTTCATGTTCTAGGACTCAATCTTAATGGCTTTAGGAGGTAGCTTCAAATATGCTTGCTATGAGTGCAGATGATATTTTAAGTTATGAAATCAGACAAAAAAAATTTTTTTTCTCTGAATAAACATAGCTTTCTGTTCGACGGATTTGGATTTCTGACCCCCAGAATATAGATGTTAGCTGCAAAAATTTTGACCCCTTAATGTTAATTTAAAATTTTGTGTATTTCGTCATATCTTGAGAAAATTTTAAGCAAATTCCAAAAATTTTGCACTCAATAAAATTTATTTTTTTATCTTAAGATAATACCATGCCAAAAAAAACTATTAGTGAAAATTTATTATTTTTTATTAAATAAAGGTCAAAAAATGTTTGAATTGTTATGTAAAATTATGTTCTTTAAATGATGCCAAAATTTTATACCTAACAATTCAAAATTTGTTTGACCTTTATTAAATAAAATAGTAAACATTTACTACAAGTTACTTTTTGCATGTAATTACCTTCGGATAAACAAATTTTATAACTGCTTGTAAAAATTATTCAATTTGCTTAAAAATTTCTTGAGATATAGCGAAATATGCGAAAAATAAAATTAATATAAAGGGGTTCAAACTTTGGAGAGCTCTCCCGACTACTGAATTATTGTGATCATATTTCCCAGATTGTGTCTTTCCCCTATAATTGGGGGGGGGGGGGGGGNAAAAGGTATGTTTGTTCAGAGAAAGTGCGTTTTTGTGTCTGATTTCGTAACTTAAAATATCGTCAGCACTAATTAATTAGCATATTCGAGGACATCACCCTCGAACCATTAGGATCGAGTCCTAAAATTTGATGGTTCGATCATTAGATTAGAAGTCATTTAGGGTGGTCCATTTTTTTTTGGTGCACTGGACATCCGAACCTCTGTAAATTGAATTTGATTTCAATGTTGTTTATTTTACATATTTGGTTGTTTTTTTTCCCTCACTCCACTTATTCCTTCTTACAGCAGCACTCTCAAAATAATTTTATTTCTTCTAATCATTAGCACATTTTAAAATAGCATGTCAAAAATTTTAACAAATTGTCTTATTTGCATCTATGTTAAAGTTTTATTTTTTAAAAATAGTCTCTGTTATATTAATATTCTAACATTATAATAATATCTTTTTTTTAGCTTTCTCAAAACATTTAAGTATCATATCAGACATTCAGATTAAAAATAAAATCAAACCAAACAAATGACACCTATTATCGAAATTTATTACTTTTTTGAGCAAATTATAAAATTAGTTTAGAGTTGGATTTTTATTGAAAAACAAAATTATAATGAATAAAACACAATGCCATAATTTGATCACAAATAACATAAACAAGCATTATTCTCTTAAACTAGACAGGTAAGTTTTTTTTCTATAAGGCTTAAATGTAAATAATTTTTCTTCTTTACAATTAAGAGCTTAGTGGAAAGACATTTTGAGTGATATTTTACTAAATTTAAGAAAATCAACTTTAAAATATATAGAAAATCTAAAGTTGACAAAACTTTTTTTTCTTCTTACATTGAAAACTTTTATATTTATAGTAAGTCAGGATATGCTCTTGAATGAGAAAATTTAATTGTTTCCAAAATATCTTACAATATGTTCATCAACTAAATTCTTTGTTTATGTCCCACTTTGCATAAGAATTTCTTTGTAAGAAGAAAATTCCATTTTAGCACTTCCCTTACAAACTTTTTTTGAAAAAAAAAAATGCTAAAAATTAACATATTTTTTTATTTTATCAATAAATACAAGGAAAACTAAAACAAAACGTAATACACTAGTTTTAAATTAAAATTAAAATTTTTTTATGTGTAAAAAAAAAACATTTAATTTACTATAAGTTTACTATCCTGAGTTATCTCTGGTAAATGAAAAAAGTTAAATATTCATCACTGTATGATAGTTTTTAAAACAAGGGACAACACAAAGTGATACTTTCCAAATGCCTGTGAAGTGATATGCCATTTTTTTAACTCTTTTTTTTTTAAATGTTAATTCCAAGAACTATCGTATATACAATTGCGCAAAACATGTGCGCACTCCCACAATCCAACAGCAAAACTCAAAAAAAAACTTGACGAACTTCCAACCACAGCAGATTTTTTTTTGTTGCTTCCAGCCGAGAAAAAATGTGATAAAACAATACGTACTGACTAATTCTACTACGCCGAGTTTTCTCAGGATAATAAATATTTGCAATATATGCATACCTGAGTTAATTCAGGATAATAATATAGTACATTTAGTAAGTGATTCATAATAGAGTATAGTCATATAGCCAACATTATGACAATGAATGGGCATGTTTTTCTCATAATTTGATATTATGTAATGTCCTTATTACAACAATTATCGCAGCTGATAGAAAATTTAATATCCCAAAAATGCTGAAAATAAATGATGATATGTTGATAAATGGAGAAAACATATTCTAGCATAGCATTAAGAATATAATTACTTTATTGTCTCCTCCTGAAACAGCCAAAATGCTGCCAGTAACAGAAAAACTAACATGCCATATTACATCATCAAAAGTATGCAAGGTTTTTGGAATCCATGGTGTCTCGTTGGTTTTTGTCCATATTATTACTCTTTTGTCCTAAAACAAAACACAGAAATATGTTATGTTAGTTATAAAATATCAGCATTTCTACATATTGATATATATTTTTTTAAATATTCTATAAAGTGGTTTAGAATGAATGCAAATAACTAAATTGTTTTTGAGTATTTTCTTTACTTTGTAACTATCAAGGTAAAAGAACTTGTGTATTGCATTAAATTTTATATCTAAATAATTTTACATTTTATTGAAAAATGAAAAGAGAAAATTCATTTAAGTTATTTCAACAAGTATTATTAGAAAGGTACTACTGCTGATTATTCTGCTTAAAAAGCAAAGGAAATACCCAACCAAAATAAGAATTAATTAGTGATAATAAAGCACCCATGAGAAATGTTTAGTGCTGATTAGAGATGCAGCACTAGCAAATGACTTAGTGTAAATTGCAGCAATTGTGGATTGATTTCGTACCAGGGATGAGCTACGAAAAAAGTTTTTTTTTTGGTTTGTTCAAATTAGAAAGTTTTAAAGGCAAGAATACTATTTATTATTTTTTTGTTGTTGATAATATTCAAAACAACTACCATTCTGTAATTTCATAACAAAACTCAGATATGCCACTTTTTAACTAAATAGTATGCATGCTTCTAAAGATAAGGCTTAGTTTCAGGACATTTTGAACTTTTATAGACTCCTAGGTATGGTGATATGTCATCAAAGTTCCTTTTTTTCAAGTTTATCAGTAAAAAAAAATTAATTTTATTAAATATAATTGCACCTTAATGAATACAATACCTAGTTAGTAACTTTTACCATACTTGTAAAAACATTTATTATTCAAATATTTTTAGCAATAAAAAATAGTTAAATAAACTGTTAAGTTGATTAACTTTGGTTAAAATATTCACTTACAAGTATTAGATATAAAAGGCTGTCTTCAAATTTAAATTCTTATTTCTATAGTAAACAGGTCTCTGAATTGTATCCTATATGCAGGACCTGCGCTACGGATTTCGATTAATTAGTCTAGTAAATTAGCCAAATATCAAAAGTATTCGTCAATTTTTGAAAGTCTTAGCCAAATGCAAATCTTAAAAATTTTTTATGATGAATTTTGTTCCCATAAAAAACTGTTTTATGGTAGTTTGTTTCAGGCTTATATTATTTAGACCCAATTCAAATTGGTTATGTGGCGAATCTACCGAAAATGACTGTAATCGAATAAAAACTACTGATTTGTTTAGAAAAATTCATTTTGACGTAATTTTGAGGTCCGAGTTTAATGTATATTTTTCTTTCTAGTGGAAAAAATTATTCAACCAAACACAATTTTGTTTGCCAATTAATGAATTTAAAGCATTTGGCGAGGTGGCAATGCTTAGCACAGGCCCTGCTCATGTTTAGAAGCATGTATCTTAGCTGGAAAATAAAATGCTTTATATAACAGCATAACTCTGAAATTTTGACTGCGCATCTTTTACTGAAGGTAAAGCCCTTAACTACTGGAAGCATTTCGATGCATGAATACATTAAATTGAGGCTGAAAGATGGACAGTTTTCAAGTAAAATGAGATGAATAGTGTGCAAAATTAAAAAAACAAACAAACAAAAAAACATGAACACACTGAATCACTTTTTATATATTGATGGGATTTTTACAAACTAAGATTCTATCTTAATAATCTGAGAACTTTTTTCGAAGGGACCCTTGAAGTAAAGTTTTCATAGATGCAATTTGTAAAATATGGTCCTAATAGTTTAGACAAGAGACTATTAAAAAGTTTGCATATTTTAATTTTATTTTAACATTGCAATTTATTACAAATATTATTTAACTAATTCTTTTCCAATTTCGTTATTTAAAATTGCATAGATTAAATTGGTATAAAAATTTTTAAACCTTATAATCAGACATTTTTTTACCATAATTCTTCATAATATAATAATTCTTAAATAAAAGATTCTTTTCTTATTTTGGATTTCGCAATTCCAAATTACCGTCAGATGGGGTGACTTTGTGCAAACCGTCGAATTTTGCGTCGTGCCATCTAGGGGTATTTTTTTTTCCAGCTCGGTATCAACTGATTTGAGTTGTCAACATAACGAACTAATGATTTATCAAGAACAGGCTGTGTATACATAATCGTTCTTGGAAAATTGTGAGCTCAAATTACTAACAGTTTAAATTTTTTAACTTCGCAAAATCGGAGGCTGGAAAGTCTGCTCGGTTGACGAAGTTCTAGTCATCCTGGCCAGGAAGGTAGGTAATACTTTAAAAGTCTTATCAATTGAAATAACAAATCATGCATAATTTTTTGTTTTTATTTATTATAATGTTAGTTATTTAATAATTAATAAAAAAATGCACCCTGGGGTGACTTTGTGCAATATTTTTTATCAGAGAAAAACATGTCAAGGACTTATAAAAGAATGCCTGGAGCAGGAAATTATTGTGATTACACCAAAGAAGCGTTAGAAAAATGTTTGGCAGAAGTAAAAAATGGTTTATCTGTTTCAAAAGTGTCAAAAAAGTTCGGAATTCACCGAAACACAATTTCAAACAAAATTCGTGCGAAGCATTGGAAATCTCATGGTGAATATTATTTTTCATTTGGAAGTGGCCTAAAAGCGAAAAACCAGAAGCCTACAAAATTGAGGATATTGTTAGATTGATAACAGCACCCGTTCCTGTTAATAAGAGAGGAACATTCTGAGTTGCAGAGTTGGAGGCAATTTGGGGGCGTTAAATGAGGGAATTAATTTAACTGTTCATTCATGTCAATACATATCAAATGTTTGATTGTACCAGAAAATCATAAAAAAAGTTACCTAAGATTTAATTAATAAGAAAGAATCTAAAAATTAAAGTTTTTATGTTAATCTTAAGTAGATTCAGGCCCGTCGCTAACCGATTCGAGAGGGCGGCGTTGAAGTTTATTTTGCCGACTGTCATATATATATATATTTACACAATTTGCATATGGTTAAAGCTTGATAATCAAACAAAACTTGAGCTTTCAAAGTTTATTTTGAAATCATTTCGACTAGTTATAAACATAATGCTATTCATCGAAATAATTTTTACAGCACTTAAAAATGCAACCGCCATAGGTGAAAAATGTGGTATTATTGATAACTAAATAGTACCAGTAATTATTCAAAATAATACAAAGAAAATATAGTTTTTACATTTCTATTAATTTTAATTATTAAAATGGTTACAAAATATTAAAGAAAAGAACTATTTTTAAATAAACTGAAACTTATTCAATTAAAATAAGTTTTCAGTAATAGTAATCAGTAATTGTTTGTGGAAATAATATTAAAAAATAAATTTGTAAATTTAAATGTTTTTCAATGCAACTTTAAGATACTTTTTACTCTATATTTAAATATTTTTTGAAAAATCACTCAGTAATTAATTCATTTCATCTAAACGTTGTTACCATAAGCTAATTAGAGCAACTGTTTGAAGATAAGAAAGTAAGTCATAATCAACAAATACAGTCTTCTATAAGATATTGATTCAAAACAAAATTCATTCAAAAGTGAATTGTCCTTTCATTTTTAAAAAAATAAGAAAAATAATGTAGAGAAACATTGAAAATATTTGCCATTTAAATTATAAATGAAGAAATTCACATGAAAATGATAAAAAATTAAGATATTAGTAAAATTACGTTATATTATATTAGCTACATAAATTTACTTCGACGGTGTTCTAAAAGTGAAAAATATTCTGCCAACTTATCAAGCTTAATATTGTAAACAATATATTTTTCTGCTTTGAGTAAAAGCAGTGTTCGCAGCAAAGCAACAGTGATCACTGTTGTTCGAAGATAGTTTTTAATCAATTTCATCTTGCTGAAAATTCCTTCATTTGTCGCAACTGTCATTGGTGCAGTTAACGCTAATAGATTTAACAATAAAAACTTATTATAGCATTTTTGCTAAAATGATTATTCTGCATTTTTAATACAAAACTGTGAATTGAATTTTTACATAATTACAAAATTAGTAAGTTTTTTTTTACTAATAATTAACTTAAACAAATGAAAAAATTTTAACTTTAGTCAAAAAGATAATATAAAAACATTAAATACATAAGAAATACAACAAAATAGCTAAAAAGAATTATTTATCAAAAAAAATTGAAACTTTTCTATTTTTAATCACCTTACATTTTCAATAAAATAAGCATTAGCACATTTTTGTTCATAAAGGATTGCAGTTTGGACTTATAAAAACAAAGCGTACGAACAAATATAGAATTTGATATTTCAATTAAATAAGATCTATAAAAAATAATTTCAACTGAAAAAATATTTAAAAAAAAGTACTATTTAAAACTCAAAATAAAAAGCTTAGTAAAAAGTAAAAAACGGAAAAAGAATTCCTATTTTCGGAATTCAAATGTGATCTTCTATCCCTAGCTCCTACTAATGAATATAAATAACATAGCATTTTTAATTGCTCTTTTTTCTTTCTTTTAATCATTTTACTGCACAAAAGAGATTAAAAAATAATTTTATCTGCTTCATGAAAATCAATTTTTACCCATATATATATATTTCTAAAGAAAATTTATTTTTTGAGAAAGTCTTATACCCAAATTTTTAAGCAATAATTGAGGAAATAATTTAATTGGAAAATAATAACACATTTAACGCAATTTAGTTAAACTTAATATTTAAACAATAAGACTGCAAATAATAAAAAAAATTACACTTACATTCTAAACTTGAGAAGCTGCGGTAGATTGGATGATCGTTGGCTTGTGAGCGGATTTTCTATTTCATTCAATAATAATATGGATTTATAAAATACGCTTTGAGTAGCTAAGTACCAGTACTAAACAGTTAAAGACAGGTCAGTGAAGTAATTGGTACCACAGCTGCATGTGCATTGAACCCCGTCCTTCCCCTTCTTAACGACGTGGACAAAGATATTGTCTTTATTCTTAGAAAGAGTAAGAGAAAATATAGCTTAGGGCATTTCTAGCTAAACACTTTTAAAACACCCTCGATTTTTCAAGT